TTGAGCCACAGGTGCCGAGCCGGAATTACTGACTCTTATGTGAGGTGATTTGGGTACGTTAGTAACTACATGCATCACCATTTATTAATTAACAAATAGTCTACACTGAACTTCCAGATTACAGGGTTTCTAGGAAAAAACATGTATTAATTATAGGATTGAAGAAGTGACTATTCTAAAACAGCCACCTCCCTGAGCCCATGTCCTTATGCCCTTCTTGTTTTTTAAAATAACACCTTTGAGATACAATTCACATCCAATAAAATTCACCTTTAAGCAAATAAGTCATTGTACTTTAGTATATTCAAAGTTGGGCAACTTTCATCAGTATCTACTTTTATCACCCTAAAAAGAAATCCCATATTCATGTCAATCCTCAAACCTCCCTTCCTTCAGCTCCAGCTACCAATCTATTTTCTAACTCTATGGATATCCCTATTCTGCATATTTCTTGTAAATAGAATTATAAGTTATGTGGTCTTTGTGCTGGGCTTCTTTTTTTAATTTTTTTTTGCATTATTACAACATAATTTTATTTATTTTTTTAATTAAATGATAGCTGTGTACATTAATGCAATCACAGGGTACAGTGTGATGTTTTCATATACAATTTGAAATATTTTCATCAAACTGGTTAACATAGCCTTTATGTCATTTTCTTAGTTATTGTGTTAAGACGTTTATATTCTACTTTTAGAAAGACTCACTTGTACCCTGTGTTGGGCTTCTTTCACTGAGCATGTTTTCAAAGTTTATCCATGTTGTAGGGTTGCAGCGCCCTTCTTTTCTATCCAGTTGTCAAAGCAACGTTTGTTGTAGAGACTATTCTCTTTGAGTAGTCTTTGCTCCCCTTTTGAAAATACATTGGCCACAGCTCCTTGGGTTTATTTCTGAACTCTCAATTCTATTTCACTGGTCTATATATCTATCTTTATGCTAGTATTCCACTGTTTTAATTACACAGTTTTGAGGTTTCAAAATCAATTAAGTTTGAGTCTTCCAACTTTGATGTTCCTTTTTTTTTTAAAATATAGAATGCTTCACGAATTTGCCTGTCATCTTTGTGCAGAAGCCATGCTAATCTTCTCTATATCGTTCCAATTTATGTGCTGCCGAAGCGAGCACTTTAATAGCGAAGGCTATTAAAAACATTAATAGCCTTTTAAATATTATTTTGGCTGTTTGCTGCTCCTGCCAGTGCCATGTAATTTAAGGATCACTTTTTCCATTTCTGCAGAAAAGGCTACTAGAATGTTAATAAGGATTGCATCAGATGTGTAGATTATTGCTATACTGCCATCATAATAATAATAAATTTTCCAATCCACGAACATGGGATATCTTTAATTTCTTTCAGCTAAGTTTTACAGTCTTTAGTATACAAACCTAAATAGATGATACATGAATGTAAATTTAACCAGTATACAAGGGAAAGATATTCTTGGTTAAATTGATTCCAAGGTATTTTGTTCTTTTGAATGCTTCCATAAATAAAATTTTCTTAATTTCCCTTTCATTTGTTTAGCATACAAAAATTAGTGTTTTTGTACATTACACTAATTTTTGTGTGCTGATCTTCTAGCCTGTAACTTTGCTGAATTTTTTTTTTTGCAGTCTTTGGCTGGGGATGGGTTTGAACCAACCACCTCTGGCATATGGGGCCAGTGCCCTACTCCTTTGAGCCACAGGTGCCGCCCTGCTGAATTTTTTTTTATTAGCTCTAACAGTATTTTTGTGGATTATATGGCATTTAATAATATGGCAGGGCCCGTTATTAAATGAAAACTAGTTTGCATTTCATAGTCTAGTTCATATTCAGTTCCATAAAATATCGTAAGGGAAAATGACTTTAACAAACCCATGGTTTCAAAAATATGCTTTATGCTTTAAAAAAAAAAATAACTAACTGGAAGGCAAACTCCAATAATCCCACAAGTAGATCTCAAGAAAAGAATTAGAACTCTCAATTGACAAATATTTTTTTTGGCAATAGAAATCTGCTTAAACAGTCTGTTTATATCTAAATTCTTTCACATATGTGTACAATTCTCAGGAACCAAAGTTGCTGTTAGAAGATACAGTGAATTGGCTCGGCACCTGTGGCTCAAGTGGCTAAGGCGCCAGCCACATACACCTAAGGTGGCGGGTTCGAATCCCCAGCCCGGGCCTGCCAAACAACAATGAC